TGGCCACCGCGAGAGTCCTCTAATGGAGGTGGAGGAGGAGGAAAGACGCTCTCCACACGATCATGTGGATCGGTGTGTTCCCGAGAGCTTCTTTGATCGCGTAACGCAAGGGTTACGCGACGATCTCGAGCATGAGCGGAATAGGCGTCTCCAAATGGCGGACACTGCCTCGAAGCATCGAGCTGAGTTTGCCTTTGCTCAGCTTGAGAACGAGAGATCTCTGACATCTCTTCGTGACGAGCTAAGGGTAGCTCGTGGGATTGTTGATCGGTCTCGGGCTGAGATAACTGCTCTTCAGACCCTTGTTGATGCCCACCATCGGGAGCACAAGGCTCTCTGCGAGATGCTTGAGCGCAAGGGCGTTCTTCATCGGAAGAAGCAGCGTACTGATGGTACGGCTTAAGCCGACCAACGTAAAACGTGGGATGCGTTCGCATCTTACGTGGTAACTCGATCGTGTATGCATTGCCTAGGCGGTGCAATACACGAAATGGGCCAATGTACTTGGGTAGTAGTTTACTGCTACCCAAGTTAGTCACTACGTGCTTTGGTAGATTAACCGTAGACAGTAGGACTAAGTCACCTTTATTAAATAAAAGAGTGTTTGCCCTTCCATTCTTGTCAGCGTTTTGCTTTTGCTTATCCACCGCTTCGGCGATGGAGTCTTGCACAAAACGGACTACCGTTTCACGAGCCAGTATGAACTCATCTGATGACTCGTTAGCTTCAGTGTGCTGTGAGCGCACTGCAGCAACATCAACCTTTTCTTCAGTGAGGGCTTCCGCACTCTCACTGGGATCATCTTCTTCAGTTAGGGCTTCCGCACTCTCACTGGCATCATCTTCTTCGATATCGATGTTATCGATATCGGCATCAAACGCAATGACTTCTTCGTCAGAGCGTGATGAGCGTGAGCCAATTCGGTTTTTGCTCGCGCGAGTCCCTCCCCCTTAAACCAGAGTTACACTCTAGTAAGGTGGGTACACGCGGATGGCGCAAGCCATTCACGTAAAACGGTGTATGTGTCGTGGACGCATGCACCGAGTTGTTGATGGCAAACTCTACCATTGGCAAAAACTCACTCCAACTCTTAAAGGAGTGTACGTATCCTCGAAGTATCTCTTCAAGGACACGATTGGCACGTTCCGTCTGACCATCTGACTCTGGATGATCAGATGTCGACATCTTCAAGCGCGTTCCGAGTGATTTGAACACGGAACGCCAGAAATCAGCAGTGAATCGTGGATATCTGTCTGTTACGAGTTCACGGGGCAACCCATGAAGTCGGAAGATGGTGTCGATAAAGACACAAGCACAGCCACTTGCCGTGATTGTCTCTGGTACAGCCACAAGGTGTACCATTTTGCTGAATCTGTCAACAAATACGAGAATACCCGTATTCCCGCGTGCGTCTTTGGTAACCCGAAGACGAAATCCATTGAGATGGATTCCCAGCACTCAGCCGGAACCGGTAGAGGCTGTAAAGGTGCACGCAGTGAAGGACTTGACTTCACTCGTTGACAGACTTCGCATGCGCGAACATACTTACGCACAAACTGATACTGGCGGGGCCAGTAAAAGTCTCGACTTACCGTGGGATATGTTTTCTCTCGGCCACGATGTCCTCCTATAGGAGCATCGTGATACTCGAACATGATCCGCAAACGCAGATCAGTATCATCTGGAATGACAACACGTGGTGTGTCACCAGAAACGGCTGTATAGTACAGTAAACCGTTACGAGTAGTGTATCGATCTGATGCAGATCGATACGCAGACGACAATCGTTTCAACGATTCTCGAGATGGTTGGGAGAGATGTGTCAACAACTTCACTATCTCACCATCTTGGGCTTATGCCCGCCTCACATCATCGTACAACGTTGTAGATGGGACTGAGGACGTCATAACCGCAACAGTGACTGTCTCACTGTTGGGTTTCGCGACTGTTTCAAAGTCGGGACGACGTGAGAGTGCATCAGCGACGACATTAAGTCGTCCTGGTTTGTACTCGACCGTAAGGTTGTATTCCGCAAAGAATGACAACCACCGCGCCATTCGTTGTGAAAGGTGCGGGCTGTTCACTGCCGTGCGTAATGACGCATGGTCAGTGTAAACAATGAAGGGTCTATCTCCTAATAGATAGACTCTGAACTTCGCGAGTGCATACTTCATGGCAAGGAGTTCCTTGTCATGCACTGGATAGTTCCGCTCAGCTGGTTGCAGCTGACGCGACTGATAGCAGACGACGCGTTCAACGCCTTCAAGATCGTACTGCATTAATGCACAGCCGATTGCGAAATCGCTGGCATCACAGACCACATGAAATGGCCTGTCCTGATCGGCTATTGCTAGGACTGGGGATTGTATCAAGCTCTGCTTGATACCCTCAAAGGAGCGTTGACATTCAGCGTTCCATAACCACCTCTCGTTCTTTTTCAACAAACGAGAGAGGTGCACAGTCATCTCGGCGTAATTGCGTGAATACTTATGCAAATACGCCGCTAGCCCAAGGAATTTTCGAAGACCTTTGACATCAACCGGCACAGTCCAGTCGGTGATCGCCTTGATCTTTTCGGGATCAGGACGTACACCGTTCTTACCAACGATGCACCCAAGAAGTGGTATTTCGCTTGCTGCAAATATACACTTCTTGAGGTTAGCATACAATTGATGCTTTCGCATGATTGTAAGAACTTGTCGGACGTGGTACCTGTGAACCTCAACGTCCGACTTTCCATCCATAGCTCGACTATGGATGAATACGTCATCGAAATAACTCGGCGCGAATTCTCGTACTGGTCTCAACAGATGTGATACACATCTGTTGAACGTGGCAGGGGCATTACTAAGCCCTTGTGGCATTACTAGCCATTCCCAGAGCATGCCGCTAGGCGTGCTAACTGCGGTATAGGGTATATCCCGTTCCCGCATAAGGATTTGATAGAAGCCATCCATCAAATCCATGGACGAAAAGATGGTACTCTTTGACATACCATCAATGATTACGTCCTTCCTCGGTATCGGCGTCTGAGCCGGTACCGTTGCAGCGTTCAATTTGTTAAACGCGTGCACTATCCGCCACCCTCCTGTTGCTTTTCGCACACAGAAGGTCGGAGAGCTATGTGGGGAAGTTGATTCCCTCACATGGCCCGCTGCTAAACGATCGGCAAAGAACTTGTCGATCGCAAGTACTTGTTCACGAGGCAGTGGCCACTGCTTCATGACACAGTACTTCGAGCCTGGTTTAAGCTCGACTTCGTGTCGAATACCTTTATCCTTCGGTAATTCGCACGGAACAGTTTCAGGAATACATCCTTGAATTCAACCAAATCTTCATAGAGAGGATTTTCCTTGAGCGATTCCCATGATTGGGACTCATATCGCTCAATTCGTGTCTTTTCATCTAGGACACTCTCGTCCATAGATGAACTACTGAGAACTCTCTCGTTCTCAGTAAACACTGTTGCTGACCTTATGTCGGTTACATACTCGTCGTCAGCGACGAGTATGCAGATCTGCTTGACTTTGCCACTACGCAGATCACGCAAGAACCTTTTATGTTCGAGCGTTGGCAACTGAGTGATCTCCGAAGTTAACTTCGGAGGCGCAATCAGATCAAGTGTGTAAGCGCCTACACATGATCCGTTATTGACTATGACATTCAATGTCTCTGTCATTTCCTGGGGACTTATTCCCTCAGGCTTCGAAGGACTTATTCCTTCGTCTTCCCGGGGACTTATTCCCGCGGGTTTCGGGGAACTTATTTCCGCCGTATTTGTAATCTTGGGACTTATTCCCTTTACTTCCTCTAGCTGGGGTTGCGCAACCACAGCGAGATCCTCTACGAAAGACTCTCCAGTCGATCTAGGATTATCGTTTCGCTTAACCTGAGCGATCGATTGTTTCTCTTCTAGATGTTCCCCTCTAGGGATACATCTTTGTCCCAGTCCACCCGACTTATTCGAGTGGTGGACCTTCGGCGCAGCCTGTGTTTCCCTCACAGCCGCCGGAACTTTGCTCCGAAGTGTAACCGTTTGGTACACTAAGGTTTTGTGCAGTCGTACTAACGACCGTACCACAAGTGAGGCCATCGCACTCACTCGTAGTACATCCACACGCTTGTGGACGCTCCAAAACGTTCATCAGATGGCCATCTGATGAACAAGCGGCAGGCATCGTTACTGTCCGATGTTGCCAGTTTACCCGTGGTTCGTACCTTCTGAGCCACGGTATTCCAAGGATGACATCAAATTTGTCATCCAAATCCAATACGATAAAGTCATCGTCATATTGGGTATCTTCTAGCGTATAGTGAATCTTCACTATACGCTTCATGACGGTTACGGATGCACCTGTCGCAAGACGTACCGTCATCCTCGTAGGAGGTGTGTCACATTCACTGAATTTAAAGTGACCATCTTCTAGCGATTGGCGTCGCACAAAATTGTTGGACGCCCCACAATCGACTAGAGCTCGAAGGGACAACTTATTCGTCACTTCGAGTTTCAAGGTAATGAGTGAGATCTCATTACCTAGAGCAGCAACGCACAATGTCTGTGTGTTGGGAGCAACCTTCATCAAGAGGCCTACAAATTCTCTTGACGTTGCTGGATCAGTAGGGTGCTCCGCACCTACTGATCCTGTCCGTTTTTTGACGGTCCATCCCGTTGTTGCGTCTTTGCACCAACTGCGGACCCTCGTCCCTGCCCCTTTCTCATGGGTGGACGGTCACTACGCCCAGTGTCGCGAGACACTGGACGAGGGGCACTACACTCGTAAGCGTAGTGTCCTGTCTTTTGACATCTGTTGCATCTCTGCAACTTCTTGTAGCCTGTAGAGCGAGCCTTCTCGCTCTCTACATAACAGAGTTCCATCGGCTCTGGACCTCCGTTGTCATATCGTCTCGGTTGACGATATGATGTCGAGCTGGCGCGAGCCTGTCTCAGACTGAAGTCTTCCTGCTCCGCAATTGAAATGGCTTGTTCTAGTGAATCTAGTTCAAGCCGGAACAGGTGAGTCTTGACGGGACCATCCGCAAGACCCCTGCATGAACACCGAAACCAACGTGTGTTCATCCACCGGATTGGAACTTATACAACTCGTGAGATGTCGTATATGTTGAGCGTAAGCGTGCACATCACGCTTACCCTGCTTGAGCTTCAAGAGTTCGGTTCGAGCTCTGAACTCAGCTCTAGGCGGTTCAAACGTTTGTCTGAGCCGCGACTTGAAGACTTCCAACGACCCAAACGCATATGGGTCGTGCAGCTTGAGCCCCAGTGCCCAAGTCTTGGCACGTCCTGCCAGATTTGACTGGGCAAATGCAACTTGCATATCCCCGTCGTCGATGCGACGCGCCCTTATGGCGTCATCCAATTCGACGAACCATCTCAAGAGGGAGTCTTCTTCGACCCCTCTATACTTTGAGATGTCAATCTTCAAAGTCTCGGGTCGACGCGAGTGCATCGACCCGCCAGCAGCAGCCTGCTGCTGTCTCAACAGTTCAAACTGTTGAGCACCTTGTTCTCTCAACAACTCTGCTTGTTGAGAACCTTGTTGGTGAAGCAAGGCTACTTTCTCGCGTTCTGCGTCAAGTTCATTTTGAATGAACTTGGCGATAGTAGCATGTTGGGCATCTCTATTGAGAGCCTCTAGCATGACGCTAACAGCATGGATGCCCATGGTCGAACCCATTCGTTCAACTGCATCCCATTCGACATCGCTCAAATGGGAGTAGCCGTCACGCGTAGCGTGAAAGCTTTGGTCATATTCATCATCCAACATATTCATGTTGGATGTGAACGCGGTCCTTGGACGGACTACGAAGTGCTACCAGGTGTAACGGGGCACCCCTGAAGCTTGTACTGGTGACAGTACAAGCTACTTATTCTGATAACAGAATAAGGCGGTGCCTCGTAACTTCACGTACACTCGTACGTGCAGAGGAAGACGGTAAGAAGAAGCGAGTACTCGGTTAGAGTAAAAAGTAGAACTGTATTTATAATAGTTAATGTCTGCAATAAATCACTATTTATCTTCATCTAACTATGTCTAAATACAAATGTGTAAATCAGTTATCTGCTCACCACTCATTGCGTGCGTCTGTCGTGGCGCGTCTTCGTTGGTTGATATAATGGCCTATATCAACCAATTAGGAACTACTTGGAAGTGCTACCGAATATTGTCCTTATGACAATATTCTGAGAATATAACTCTTATAGTTATATTCTATTAACAATTTCTTATAAATTGTTATGTAACGATTCACCCCGTTACAATTTATAAATGTGGTCATATCAAAAGGTCTAACAAAATTGGCGATGGCAGAGGCAAGAAGGGTGCGCATAGGATGTAAACGAGATAGTAGCACTATAAGCAACACCAAAATTAGTCATCATCACGTAAGTTTGCGAGCCCGAAAGGTGAAGCTTTTAGTGGGTATGCGCAAGGTTACATGAACGGGGTTACACAGCGGCTATTGAACCGGTGATGTTTGTGTCCACACCGAGCAAAGATCGGTGGATGTGAGTGGTACAGTCTTGGTACCACGTACTTACGGTAGAAGTCAGTCAGACAAGGTTTAGGGTTTTATTACCGTAGTTAAAGAATAAATAAAGTTCTGTTTCCCTTTCGAATCGTTAGAAACGAGTGCCTAGTCATGGCGTAGTCTGTTGTAAGAGCAGTAGACTTGACAAGGCCTTTACTCTTGTTTAAGGTAGTAGTCTCTAGTGAGTGTGTGATTCGGTAAATCGTAATCCCTTTGGAACCGACTTGTTAAGCTTGTGCGCTTGAACGACTGCACGTCGATGTTAGTCTGTCATTACTAAGAGACTTTTTGAGTCGAAAACTTCCTCTATTAGGCAGCGCTAAGTAGCTCCGCTACATTGAATGCCGAACTTTTAGTTCGTACTTATCTGTCCGTGTGTCTCTGTAAATAACGTGGTTAGGTGTACTTACACGTACTTAGGGTGATCGAGCCTTTCCACTTCTCATAGGCCGACTAGCATGATAGGTGTCACGCTTTTGGCTAGGTCAACACTGTGATACACGCACCTGATTGGCTTAGAATCGACCAAAGGTGAATGTGATCACGCAAGCAAGTGCTGGATGCGCATAAGCGAAGGTTGATCGCGATGCTCTAGACAACTAAACTAGGTAAATACTGTAACGGGGCACCCTATATTTTGGTGCTGCGAAACTTCACGTACACTAGTACGTGCAGAGGAAGCTAATCGACGTAAACGACTCGTTTAAGTAAAGGGTAAAAAGAGAACTGTATTTAATATAGTTTAGCAATCAATATAACTTTAGTCTTTATCTAACTATATTGAACTACGCCGTCGTTTGACGATAACCTGCTCACCACTCATTGCGCGCGTTAAGCAGCGATTGGTGGTAATCTATGGTTGATATGTCTTAAATCAGCCAATCTTTGAGCAGCGCATGAATGTTATTCTCCAAGGATTAATATTCATTCAATATTATCCATCTCGAATATTATGTTGGTAGGATATTGTCATGCCGGACAACCCCCATATTGACACCGTTCGGTGTCAATATCATGGAACAGGCTACCCCGTTACGATTACAGATAATAATAGCATCACACTCATTCTTCAGTGACTGCTATAGTATAGCCTTTTTTAAACTTGATTTAGTTCTTTGAACTAAATTACTTATATCAAGGGGCGAGCTCCTGAGCTTGCTCTCCCTGTCTTACATCTAGTACAGATTGAGTTTTCAGTTCTCCAATCATCTTCATTATGCTGTCTTACTTTAAAACTCGCATCAACTCAAATGGACAGGAGAAGACCCTAGGACGCAGGTGGACAGAAACGACGCAAGCTGATGGGCGACAAAAGGCGAACCTGCAGTGTGAAATTCTAGATGCATGTAAAACTAAAAGTGATGTCGTCTAGAATGCAACACATCAATTGAAAAGCCTTCAGGTCAGGTCGACGCTACCGACATGGTCTGCTCGCGCACGTAGTGATAATAGTCGCTCATACTCAAATAGCTCGATCAATTCGGTTAAATGCATGCTGAGATAGCGCGCGTGAATACAGGTCAAACACTCGGATCTTTATAGTTGATTTGGATCCATTAATTTGTTTTCGACGTCGCGTTACGACAAAATAGTCTTAGTACGACGAATCAAAGAGCGATCGCTTCAATTGGTCTTTCACCTTGTTGTGCTAGATTCTTGGGGAAAGTCGGTTAACAATTAGAAATGGCAAAGTGGATCTGCCGCCTCCTCAAATGTGGCAACAACATGCGCTCTGACCTTGTTCTATCTCCAGCCTACAATAAGTATGACAACTGTATGCAAGGATACGCTGATTCTTCAAAACTACACCTAGTACCTCTCAGGGACTCAATGTAGTACTCATACTACGTTAGGCGTACGCAACTAGGCCACACAAACGAAGTAGTCAGGGAAGTCGCCAGGAATTAGCAAATAGCTGCTGGTAAAGTCAGTGTCATTTGTCGATGGCGGTTATTGAACCCACCATGATCCGACACGACACTTCCGCTCGACGGCAGCCTAAACAATGTAAGGTGCATCCATGGGCTCGTGTCAACTGAGACGAATTTTTATGTGCTCATAAAGAGGTCCCAGGTCATCACGATCGCCGTAACGTGGAAGCGAAGGTAAGAAACAAAACCTTGCACGAGGTTTGTAAGAGAACAACGTCCGTGTTTTCATCGCCTACGCACCTAGCTGATAAACGCCTTAGCTAACGACTTGACTGCGCACGGACCAGCCGAGGTCATGATCGGCTCGCCCTTGTACGTCGCCACACACTCGTCGTTGGTGAGAAAGTCTGGCAAGACCTTCTCCAACACCTTCTGCTTCTTGATCTGTGCTGCCGAAAGTGGTTCTCCACTCTCTGAAGCTACCGTCACTCGCTCACCTGGCTTAGAGTCAGCCGAAGGTTCCACAAGCTGCACATTCGCATGAGCCTCATCGCACGCACACAGCACCATACCGTGTGACTTGAAGCCACCCAGCTTGGCTGGCTTCAAATTCAGCAGTACCAGCACCTTGCGATTCTCCATCTCCTCCAGAGAGTAGAAGGCCTGCAGACCGGAAGCAATCTGCTTGGGCTCCTCCTCACCAATGTCAATCTCCTCGCAATACAGCTTCTCCGAATCAGGGTGCTTCCATACCTTGGAGATCACACCAACGCGAATGTCAAGCGAGGCGAAGAGCGGTGTGGCGGCCTTTGCAGGCTTGACATTCACGGGCTTAGCCTTTGTCGCCGCAGCCTCACTTTGCCTCAACTTTTCGTCTGCAGTCAAAATCTTGCCGAACAAGATATCACCAATCGACACCTCAGTATCAGGTTTCAGGTTGTCGTAGTTCGGGGATAGCGCAGTCAGCGTAGTGGGCACCGTGTTAAGCTTCTCGAAAATTGCTTCAGTCGTTTTTGGGATAATGGGACTCAAGTAGTGAGCCAGCACGTAGATAGATTCGAGACACGTACGCACAACAACGAGACGTGGCTCGTTCTCCTTCATATGCCACGGCTCCTTTTCAGTCAAGTACTTGTTTGTATCCTTCAGCGCATTCACAATCGCTATACAAGCGTTTTGCAGCGAAAACTCCTTGTATGAATCCTCCGAGTATTTCAGCAGCTCGTAGACGTTAAATAACTTGTCTGCCTTGGCATCAGGCACAACGCCACTCGAATACTTCTTACAGATGTTAACCGTACGGTGAACCAGGTTGCCCAAAGTGTCTGCAAGCTCTGAGTTGTGGATGTTGATGAGATCGTCTTCGGAGAAGGGCATGTCCTGGCCAAACTTCGCCGAGCGCACGATGAAATAGCGGAACGAATCCAGTCCGTACTTGTTAATCATCTCATACGGGTCAACGACATTGCCAATACTCTTGCTCATCTTGGAACCGTCTTTGGCGTTCACAAATCCATGCGCGAATACTCGTTTTGGCAATGGAATATCCGTGCTCATTAAAATACATGGCCAGATAACACAATGGAACCACGTAATGTCCTTGCCGATAATGTGCACGTTTGCGGGCCAGTAGCGAGCATCAGGGCCATCTGGGTAGCCGATGGCCGACAGGTAGTTCGCCAGTGCGTCAAACCACACGTAGAGAACGTGCTTGGGATCGTTAAGCAGCGAAATACCGTGCGTAAACGTGTTACGCGAGGCCGACAAGTCCTGCAGCGGTTCCTTGAGGCGACGCAGCAGTTCCTGACGACGAACTTCAGGCTGGAGAAATTCGGGATTCTCGGTAATATGCTTCACAAGTCGATCTTGGTACTTTGACATCTTGAAAAAGTACGACTGTTCTTGCATTTTCTTGAACGGCGTGCCCGTTGTCGGATCCTTATAGTCGGTAAGCTGGGCTTCCGTCTCCGTGACGAACGTCTCCTCACGCACATTGTACCACCCCTCGTAGTTACCAAGGTACACGTCACCCCTCTCAAGGGCCCGCTGGAAGAGCCACCGAGCAAACTTCTTGTGCTCGTCGCTCGTCGTGCGGACGAAATTGTTGTTGCTCATGTCGAGATCAGTCGTGAGCTGCTGGAAAATCGCCGCGTACTTGTCCACGAGCTCCTGGGGCGTGACACCTGCGGCGTCAGCTGTTTGCGCAATCTTCTGCCCGTGCTCGTCCGTGCCCGTGAGAAAGTACACGTCCCGTCCAAACACGCGGTGGTAGCGCGAAATGACGTCGGAGCACACGTTCTCGTAGGCGTGACCCATGTGCGGCAGACCATTCGTGTAGTGGATGGCCGTCGTGAGGTAGAACGTCTCAGTCGCAGGCTTGGCGGCGTCCGTCTTCTCCTGCAGCACCTGCATACGCACGTGTTGCTGCTGCTGCGCCACTTCGAGCTGCTCGACCCGCGCGACGAGGTCGACTCCAGTCATCGTCGGCTCGCTTTCTCGACTGGCTCGCGTGACGCCCAGTAGCAGGGCGAGCGCTCACTGGCTAAAAAGAACAAAGCTGATAGCCAAAGGTTCTCTGCAAGCCCTCCTATTGGTCAGCTCTGCGTCACGTTGTCCCGGTGTGTGACGGCGCGTTCACCGCGGTGTAGCCATCTCATGGCGATCCGTACCCCCCCCCGTCCCATCACCTTCGTATCATACAATTGACTATGCTGCCAACATCTGGCGTCGTTATTCGTGACTACCACCTCTTCAACTGAGTTCTTTCTTCAACTTTATTTGTAAATGAGTCACCTCAAACTGCATAACCTCTCGTATCCAATACCCCTCATCCCACACCGTACACGAACAACGAATACCATGGTGCTGCACGACAGCAGCTCGAGCTCGCTCTCGAGCGCCGCGATGAACACGCGCAGCTTCCGCCACAGCAGCAGCAGTCGCAGCCGCCACCGCAACAACAACAACAGCAGCAACGTCCACAGCAGTAGCAACAACGACATCAGCCACGGCCGCAGTCGGAGCAACAACAACAGCAGCAGCAGTCATAGCAACCTCCAAGTGGACGACCCGAGCTCCTTTGGCTCCATGCTGGACCAGCTGCACGCCGAGCAGAAAGGGACGATCGAAGCGTTGACGTGTCAAGTGGAATTCTACCGTCAAAGGGAAGAGCGCGCGCGTCAGGAGCTCGTCACGTTGCGCGACTGTCTGCCGCTGGCCAATGACGACGAAGGCGCCGTCGCGTCTGTCGCGAAACTGGCCAGTGAGAACCGCGCGCTGGGTGACGAGCTGGACGCGTTGAGAGCCGAGAAGGGAAGCAGTGACCGGGGCTTGGCGCGGCTCGGGCGGCAGAAGAAGGAGCTGGAGCGGCAGCTCCGAGACGCGAAACATACGCTCGTGGGGTTCTCGCAGGCGATCGAACAGCTAGAGATTAAGATGCAACGCAAAGAAGCAGAAGTCCAGACGCGGTGTCTGGAGCTCGAGCAAAGGGTGGGCGACTTGAAGCACGAGTGCGGACAGCTGCGACAGGATAAGACAACTATGCGACAGCAGCTCGAGAACCTTCAGACCGCGAGTGACGAGAACGCAAGACTGCGCGGGGAGCTGCAGCTGCTGGTGCAGCAGAGTGCAGGCCGCCATTGGAATCAACACGTCAGCAGCAGCTCACGCTTTTCGTCCGAGCTCAATAGCATTCGGGAGAAGTTTAGTAGTTTGGATGATGAGAAGCGGAGACTGGAAGCCGAGATCCAGGAGCTACAGCGAAAGTTGGATGCACGTGCTGTTGAAGTGTCAACGGCTCAACTGGAAGTTGAACGTAAGAACTGCGAGCTCAAGGAACTGCAGCTGAAACTAGACAACGCAAGCAATTTGTTATCTCTTCGAGAACAGCTGCTTGAATCGGACGATAGCTCAAAGAAAGAGATTGAGGCACAGCGACAGGAACTACTGATGCTAGTGTCCACGCTGCAGTGTGAGAAAAGTGATTTGCAACGTGAGGTTTCAAGCTTGCGCAGAGACCAAGAGACTGTCAAAGCCGAGTTGCAGACCGCTAAATCACGTCTGGCCACGAAAGACCATACCGTAGTTGTATCGACACTGCGTAGTGAGGTTGCTTCATTGAAGGAACGGCTCCGTAATGAGTTCATGCACGAGAAGGATAGCCTAAAATCTGACGCACAGTCCTTAACGCAGGAGATCAGGCTGCTGAGGGGGCGCTTGGCAGAGAAAGACGTTGCTGCTCGTAACCTGAAGGACGAAATCTTTCGCAAGGATGAGAAGCAGAAGCAGACGGAATACGACATGCGGCAGTTGCGAGAGCAGATCACCCGACTGGAATGTGAACTGAGTCAGTCTCGAACCAAGTACGAGCAACTTCAGCAGTGCCGGACGTCGCTGGCAGAGCAGCTTGATGTCGGGTTCAAGGAGTTGCTGAACGACGAAGATAGTGCAGCGTCAGCGCGCGAAGAAGTTGAGAAGCTGCGCAGCGACGTGAGTCGAATGAAAAAGAGTATTCAGGCATTAGAAACGGAACGGCAGACACTGACCGAGAAGCTGGAGCACGCTGACCGTTCGAACCAGGAGGCAGCGACGCGCCAAAGTGAGAAGATTGACGAGTTGTACCGCCAGCTTTTGGAGAAAGAGGAGGTTATCACGTCGTTGGAGAGTACTCAGCGTCATGTGGCCCTATTACAACAAGAGAAAGAGTCGTGGGAGGGAGATGTGACTGACATTCGCTTGCGCTGTGAGAGCCGAGTGGAAACGGAAGTTCGAAAGGCCGACGGTTTTCGCGCTCGAATCGAGCAGCTAGAAAAGGACAAACTGTCTTTGAAACAGGAGATTGATACGCTTGAAGATACGTGCGCAAATTGGAAGGAGCGCGCTCATGTAGCCGAGCGATCTCTTCGCCAGAAAGTCGAGGAACTTGGCGAGCTTAAGCAGGACCTCGCGCGCCTCGAGAGTGAGATAATTGACGCTACCACGCGCGTTGACAAAGGAAAAGAGGAGATTACAACTCGCGAGCGGAAACTGCTGAAGGAGCGAAAGAAGATGGAGCGTGAGATGGGGTTGCTCGTGCACCGTATTGAGAGTGCAGATCAACGGAATTTCGAGCTAGGTGAGAAGGTGATTGCGTTTGCGCAGCAGTCCAAGGTGGATCAAACGGATTTGGTGGCGTTGAGTTCCCAAGTGAAGAGCTACAGGAAGCAAGTCAAAGGGTTGGAAACTCAACTGGGACAGATTCACCGTCGCAACGGGATGGAATCCGACACAATCAGTGATCTTCAGCGAAAGTTGAGTGATCTGATGTGTTTGAAGGAAAGCTATCAGGTCGAGATCAACAATCTTCGGCAGAAGCTGGGTCAAGTGCAAAGTGACAATAGTGCGGCTGTCCAACAGCGTGACGAAGCTGTAAAGCGAGTTTGCCTACTGATGCAGTGCCGAGACAAGATGAAGGCGACAGCAGAAGATCACACGACGGAGCTGATTGAGGAAATCGAAGCGCTGCAGCATCAGATGGACAGTGAGCGCAAACGCTGTGCTGTGCTGCTGGCTAATGAAAAGACATTGTTGCGCGATCTCCAAGAGCGGAACACTGCCATTGCGAAGCTGCAGCGCACCATATCAGTGCTGCAGCATCGATCTCGCGACAAATTTGACAGCGATCAATCCAGCAGCTCGAGTTCCAGTCGTAGACGGCGCTCTCGAGGTAGTAGCGGCGTTGGCACCCCGGTGGGCAGCAGCAACGAGTCCACGGTTCCTACAAATACGACAAGTTCGCTGTCCCCGAATGTTTACCGCCATGACCTTCCCCAGCAGCAACAACAACAACTGCAACAAGCTCAGGATCCGCTCGTGTCAAGTGCTGTAGCAAGCAGCGGGTCGAACGGGACGCCGGAAAAAGAGATGGAGCATCTATTGAGCAACCTCGAGCGCATCTCGGACTTTTCGACAGAGATGCAGCAGCAGCAGCAGCTTGATTGATTCGTAAGTTATTCAGTGTGTTGTCAAGGTGCGTCTGTGCAAGCGTTCGAAGTGCGTGCGCCCATGCAAAAAGGTACTTGTTGCCATCGAGAGGACTGCGTGAAAAAATGACCGACGAAAAAGTCGAAGGTGGTGCGTGTTGTCGTGCCAGTACATTGGCAATTGGACGACCGTCACGCAGTCGTCACGAGCGCGACTGGACGTGCAGATCGGATCGCCTGTCGTCCGCAATTCGACGAGCTAAAGCGTGCGGACGTATCTCGAAAACGTCCAGAACCGGGTCGCCGAGTCAGCTCGTGTCTGCGCTGGCTCGGCCAAAGACAGAGTGTAGTAGTGAACGTTGCCAAGTTGCACTGACCTTAGTGTCCAGTCACACCAATTACACACAATGCGGCAGCCCCTGTCTGCTGCAAAAAAGTGAGTGAGTGATTACCCACGTGCGCATAGTTGGTATAGAGCAACTCGAGCAAACGACCGACCGACCGATCGAGCGAGCGAGCGTCAAGCACTGACTGACTGACTGACTGATACTGAACACCAGTCGTTCGAGTTCATCGTACACTTTCGTGTACGTTCAGTGTGGCGCACGTGCGGCTGTCCCCTCGAGCACTCCGTCACAAGTGGATTTGACATTGAGCGAGCAAGTGCGTCCGTCCTCCGTCCACTTATTGATCGTCCACCGCTTGACAACGAACCGACATGAGTGACAGCGGCCACGCAGCAGGCGACGCGCCTGATTGGATGCAAGAACAGGCGGCCGAGTACGCGGACTTGGTCGGCAGTTTTGTCGAGTCAGTCGTGGACTCGGACACGGACGAAGTGGTGGAGTACCAATTGATCTGGGAAGGCGGCGACTTGGGGGTGGCCCTCACGACAATTGAGGGCGGCGAGGGCGGCGTCGCCGTGAGTCGCGTCACGGGGAAGGGCTTCCCCTTTGGTATCAAGAACGTTGGGCCGGGCGACCTCCTCCTGTCGATCAATACGAAGGACACGACCAAGATCAATCTGGACGACGTCGTGGCGTACTTGCAAGTATGCGACTTGCCAGCTACTCTGCGGTTTAAGAAGCTCTCGCCGGTGGTGCCCAATGTACCGGTCTCGATGCCCAGGAAGAGCACGTACGTGATTACAAGTGGCAATGCCCAGGATTCTACGAGTCCGAGAAGCTCTGCAGCTTCTCAATCCCATGCTCGTGGCTCCAACAAGTACGCGCCACCATCTTCTTCTTCGCTACAGACGTCATCGGCGGTCTTTCCGGAAGAACGTCCGAGTACTGGGAGTTTACCTGCAGAGAAGATGACCGTGTCGCAATTGGAGTGTGACCCGACAGCTATCCGGGAAGCGGGTGCAATCGACGATGAACTGGTGTTTGACGAAGAGCACGAAGAGCGTCCGTATTCGGGCTGGAAACTGGACTCTGCCATGCCTATGCCAGTTTCAGCCGAGCCTCACAAGCAATATCCTCCCCGTGAGTCTGCTGTATTCGAAGAGGAGCTCTGTGAAGTGGATGGTCTGGTACTCACGTCGGGTGAGAACGACCTTGGCTGTGACGAATCGGAGGATGAGTCTGTACGAGAATCAGGCGAATCGCGTGACTCGTTCCGTGATGAGAGTTTCGATGTCGACGCTAGTCATGGGGCTTGGGACGTCGACGGGGAGGAAAAACAAAATGCCCTAGGTGCAGCACAAAAAGAAAAGCGAGGCAATGAACAGGCTAAGGAGTGTTTTCAGCGTAACAAGAGCGAGTCGACAGTTGCGATGCTTGGGCACTTTTCCGTTGAAACAAAGGGAGATGCCTTGCCGATTCTTCCTGACGCGGAGGAGGCTTCGGGCATTGCTGCGGTTGACAATGTGAGTGATTTCTCGTCCGCAGACCGCCGTGCGTCACCGCCTCACGCAAACAGTCGCGTGCATTCGTCCGACAGGTTGTCTGGTTCCATGGCGTCTTCGATGAATTCGTCCATGAATTCATCGATGAACTCGTCTATGAATTCATCAATGAACAACACTGAGGCTGCACGGCCTTCAGTGCGCGTGACCATGGACAGCACGGCTCCTCTAGTGAAGAGCCACCCGATAAGCACGCTACACGAAATGTGTGCGAAGGGTGACCTTCGCGGCATGGTGCAGCACTTGCGCGTGGAAGGCCCAGAAGCACTGTTGAACCGAGAGCCAAACCACGGCCAGACGGGATTGCATCTTGCGGTGAAGAGCGGCAAGGTACCGCTCGTAAAGGTGATTCTGGAACAGTACAAGCCGCTTGAGGATATTGTCAACGTTGAGGACGACAAGGGCAACACAGCGTTACACTTTGCAGCCACAAAGACACCGGCAATGGTGCATTTGCTGTTGGAGAGTGGCGCGAGCGCTAACGTAAAAAACAGCCGCAAGTTTACACCACTGATCATCTCGGTGATCACATCAAAGGATGATAGCATCATCATTCCTCGCATGCTCCTCAAGTTCGGTGCCAATCCCAATGATATGCACGACAGCCACACCGTCATTCACACTGCTATCAACACTGGACGAGTGCACATCGCTGGTGCGCTTGTACGGGCAGGAGCCAAAATGGACGTGGAGGACGCTGAGGGAAAGAGTGTGTTCGAGAAGCTGCCGCGCAAGGACGTTCGGTACCTGATTTCTCACATTTACTTTCCGCCAACGCACATTACAAAGAAGGAGCGTTCTGAGTGCATGCTGTGCCATCAGAAGTTCAAGTTCAGTCACCGCGAGCACAACTGCACGCACTGCGGCCGCCTTTGCTGCGCGGAATGTTCTGCACTGCAAGTCGAGATGTACAGGTTCCCGATGGGCTTCCCCGGTCGAACGCGTCGAGGCGCGGCGAACCGCGAGCAGAAGCGTGTGTGCAAGACGTGCTACAACGTGTTCAAAGAGCGCAATGAGGAGCCGCCGAAGAGCGATGTGTCCAGGTTCATCAACCGCGTCATTAACATCGAGTGGGACGAGGTGAACCCGGAGAAATTGCAAAAAGAGCAGGAGGCAGGACGTCGCGGTTAAATGAGGTGCAGAAATTGTAAATTGCAGCAGCACCAGCAGACCACAACGAGGCAAAAGTTCGTCTCAAGCGGGAAGCGTTCGACAGAGGACGGGGTCCCGCAGTTTTAAACTGACCAAATTGGATTTTGTGGTACATGCGTGGTTACAAGTTTGTACCGACGTTGGATCCGTCGCTGATCCGACTAGGACAGGTTGATTCTACCGCTACTTTGTCGCATGAGTTTTTGTTGCAGAGGTAGGATCTGCGCAAAACTGGCTGAATCGCTTAACTGCTCAGACAAATTGCACAGATCGCAGAGCGCCATGCAATGAAGCTTGTCTAGCCAACGAGGCTTGGAATGGCGACCTCAGGAAAGTTTCAAACTTAGTTGAAGCGGTTGACTGACTGTTTTGGTAGGTTAAGATCTGTTACGCAAGTCCTTCCTTTAATGGACGCAGAAGTATCAGTATAGGGACACGACTAGGGCTCCGACCCGGACCAGTTTTGTTGGGTCGACCCAGTGATTGACCCAGCTGGTCCGGGTCATGGGTCGAGGGTCGACCCGGACCAGGACCCAAATGTCCCTTTTAAAAACATTTTTATTATAAAAGTGCGAATTTTTTATGATAATTTATGATGCTGCATCTGGGTCTGAGTCCCGTTTACAGTCATTTTCTTCCGCTTAGAGATCGGGCATGATAGAGGCTCTAAATACTATTAGGCTGATAAAATTTCTAAATAGGGATTCTAACAAGTAAAAAAAATCTGTCGTCATGGATTTCGAAGTGATGCAATCGGAATCTGTATCGTCGGTTGCGTCCGCCGACAGTGTCAGCCAAGAAACAGAGGTTGATTCCAGGTCCAGTGGTGGCAAGAAGACTAGCTGGGTGTGGACCTATTTTAAAAGACTTAAAGAAGAAGAAAAAGCTGTTTGTCAAGTCCCAAAGCATCGCGGCGGGTCTGCACTCTGTGGAGCAGCGTACGTGTGTACAGCTACCAGCGGAACCAAGAACTTGGCCAAGCATTTGATGAGCAAGCATCAGATACACGAAAAGGAACCGCAACAAGGTGCATTGCGTGCATTTCTGAATCGGGCAACCCGAAGGTGTGTGTAATGATGCATAAAAAAACGTTTAGTTTCGCTATAGTATTAACTTGTTGTTTAGTTACAAAAACCCCAACTGAACAGACAGACATTATAGACGGCGTTAATCAATCTTATTATAGAGCATTCTTTGCCGTATCAGTTTGTGGAATATAGGAAATTACGCGAGCTTCTTGAGCTATGAAATCCTGCAGCAAGTTCTCTAATAACGTCTGCAGATACGATCCGACATGATGTTCTGGAAATATTTTTGCAAGGGTACGTGTGCGACATAATATTTCTTATAACTTAACCTCTAACGTGGATATCTGCAGGGTGTAATCAGTTGAAGATGTCATTGGAGAATTTGAACACCAAAGTGAACATCACTTTTGATTGCTGGACTTCTCCAAATCACATTTCGATCATGGGGGTCACCGCTCATTATATTGATGAGAACTGGAAGCTATGGAATCTTGTTGTTGCTGCGGTGGAGATTGAAGGAGACCACAGTGGGTGAAACCTTGAACACCATCTGTTTGAAGTTTTCGAGAAGTTCAATATATTGGACAAGCTCTTTTGCATTACAGGTGACAATGCTTCGACGAACGGCACAATTGCAATGTGTTTGGAGCAACGGCGTATTATTCCTGGATTTACCAGGAGTGACAATATGCTTGGCTGTATGGCGCATGTTATCAATCTGATACCAAATGCTGGTATTAAGCTACTTGGAGCTTTTGATCAGCAACCCAATCAGGACATTGTTGAGATCATCAACCTAATGTCCGTCGATGCGCTACTTCTGGATCGAGATATTATAAAAATCGAAAAAGGTTAACCTCCATATATATTGATGCATTTTTTTGAGCTAATATGGTAATTGTCTAAATGTTTTGGATAGCGGGTACCATTGTTCGTAGAGTTCGTGACTTCACGAAATATATCAACGGCTCGCCACAGCGACTGCAAAACTTTAGAAAACTTGCGGATGTAGTCGCAGCAGATGTTGCTGTGAAGAAGCTGGTACAAGATGTGTCAACGTGGTGGATTTCGACTTGGGCAATGTTGAAGCGTGCATTTTTACTTCGAAAAGTCATTGGAGCCTACATAGACAGCGGCTCCGAGCTTCGGAAGTATGCGCTTGAAGAACATGAATGGGCTCTTGTGCACGAAGTTACTAAGCTGCTTGAACCGTTAGAAGAGGTATTTACCAAGTTCATTGCCGGGGACTCAAGTGTTAACATTTTATTTTATTCTATTTTTGTTTTTTTAGGCTACGGTGTTGTTTCATCTGCAAAGTATCCCTCCATTATGGCAGCTGCACCAGTATACTCCATGCTATTGAAGAGCATTCAAGCGACTCTTCGTTCATATGAAGGAACACTTCTTGAATCATCGATCCGGGCTATGGTGAAGAAGTTGCAGGCATACATGGAAAAAGCTGATGGTCAGTACGTATACAAGCTTGCAACAGTCTTGGATCCTCGAATCTAACGAGGACATATGGGAGATACGCGATCAGCTGTTGCTTAGAGCCAAAGTGTACAATGCTCATGAGCAGCACCAAGCAACCACAGCGAGCTCAGAAGAGAGCAACTCGAATTCTAACGCTAGTCCAATCTACAAAAAGCGTAAGACACATGATCTCGATGACGAGATTGACCGTTATTTAGATGGTGAAGTGGTAGATTCCGACACGGATCCATTGCTTTGGTGGAGATCAAAAGCCTCGACGTTTCCAAGCTTGACGGAAATGGCACGGGCATACTTTTCTATTCCGGCAACCAGTGTACCAAGTGAAAGACTCTTTCTACGGGAAGGAGAATTATTACTGACTCCCGTGGATCATTGAGTGATATAAATTCAGAAGCACTCATGTGTTTGGAAAATTGTATCAAGAACGATTTAATTGGTTTGTAAATGTAAACCAATATGATGACAACGGCCGTAATGGAAAGAGAAGAACAAAGAGTTTCATACGGATTCAGTACAGGTAGAAAGAATGTTGATGACACGATCACTGCTAATAACCACTATCAAATATACTTTTATGCTCTAATATTTTTTGTTTGACTACTGTAGCAAGTTTATCAAATCGTACAGAGCATCCACTGACCTCATCTAACTCTGAAAAGGAAATGAACTTGTCTACTTGACGGAAACACGTTCTACACTCACCAACGATTTTTTCAGCTCTGTTGCAATTTATTAGAGTGTGTGAGATAAGATGTCATGATCGTCTATTACATCGTTAGAAACAGATATGTGAATTTTCCTTTACCAGCGGTGAAGCATCTGTAACGTCGCGAGTCGTATGTTGTCCTTAATGGAGAGTGCGAGGTGCTCGATAAGTTTGCGTCCACCCGGGCACGACCGCACGCGTGGCCATGATTCGGTGAGCACAAGACGACAAGGCAACGCGCGAAAGAAATAGACTTATTGAATAGTGATGAAGGACCTTGATGTAGCCACACTCGTGGCCCAGCGGCTATAATTCTGGCGCCGTAGCATGAGTAAGGCTTTGGACAGCAAAACCAGACGTTAGTTATCTTCAATCAGCACGTCATCGGCAATGTAGATCTCATGTTTGCTGATACGTGGCCCACCGGCTTGTACTTTAAACGCCAACGCATACGTAAGGCTCTGGACAGCAAGCCAGACGTTACACCTCTCTCCTCCTCTTAGATTAGTCCGCCCTTGGTGATGTTGGTCCCCTTCCGATGCTTGCGCGGCCCACAAGCTTGTATCTGCATTAATGAAGCATACGTAAGTCTCTGAACAGCAAATTAGACGTTGCATCTCCAACAGTAGCCCTCGATCAGCAATATTACTCCACTTACTGATTATTGCGCGTCCCACCGGCTTGTACCTACATCTTCATCCCTCTAGCAAACGCGAGTCGCGGATGAACGAAAAGCATCCGCCATATTTCTTTCTCGGCATCCACAGCACGATCTACGGACGCACGCGCAGCGTGTCCAAGCCCAAGGCAACGCATCACCTTGGCTGTCGCTAGAAAGGATTGGCTTGAGCTCAAATGTGAATGTTTAAAAATCCAATAAAATGATGTGGTACACACATAAGTTTAGACCAGGGCGACCCATTGGGTCGCCCTGGACCAGCTGGTCCGGGTCCTGGGTCGGGGTCGGACCCGGACCAATGGCCATGGGTCGGAGCCCTAGACACGACTAATTGCTACAAGTTATAAGGCGATCGTGTGTGCCTGATCCATAGGTTTTGTCCTGTAAATCAGTGGCCACGCAATTGCGAACCCGAACGGTAACGCTAATAATGACTGAACGCAAGGTACGTGAATACACAGAACTTGATTCAGTTTTGTGGACTGAATTACTCCTATCAAAGGGCAAACTACAGATCTTGTAAAGGGGATACACATCGTAGGGTACTCGGTACCCTGTTTTTGGGCGCACGGGATGATATCCCACTGAAAGAGGTATTGAATAACCTATCGGTTTGTAGGAGCTGACGGGTGTCAGCCACAAGATAGAAAATGTTTTGAAAGGTGTTAACATAGGACATGAGTGTCTGGATTAGGTAATATTAGGATTACCGTATTTATGGAGTTTAACATAGCCCAGTTCCCCTTTTTGATCTTGTCTAAGACACGTGCCTTGCGAGGCGTCTCTGATCGTAGATCGTTCAGAATCAGCAACGCCTCCCTGAGGTAGCTACTCTTGAGCACAAAGTGCTGTAGATTCACTTAATCACTCGGTCCCTGGAACAGGGATCTTAAGCTTTACACTTGTTGACTCATAGAGTCTAGTACTTTAGAACTAATATCGCTTTGTCTTCCTCTGACTAAAGGAGCTGTGTAGCTCCTCTAAAGAGCTCGATCCCCCATCTAATTTCTTGAGAAATAACCACAGTTCTCGGGAGTGCATAATTGAGCTTCTCTTGATATAAAAAGATGAT